CCGAGAGTCTGGCATCAAGTTCAGATTAAAAAATATTGCCACGTACATATTTATACCTAACACTAAGCAATTAAATATCAAATGAAATGAAATATATTTAGAATAAAATCTTCATTTTGGTATAACTTTTAATTATAAGGAACTTTGATTACTATCCAATTAGTTTACTTTAATTTAAATCAAACATAGTTGAAAACAAAAATTGCTTTGAAAGCGTTTTATAAAAGTAGTATCTTGGATTAATTCAGTTTTTTTTTTCTGAAGAAGAGTACTTTAGTCTACTTTTTATTCTTATTTTAATATTGATTTCTTAAATACGCTTCTTTTTTTGTTAAAAAAATTCTAATCAGCGCTGAAAATACTCATTATGTAGGCAAGAATTAAAGTTTCTCCCTAAAAATTTTTTTTTCTTGAATAGCGTTAATTACGTTTTAATTATTATGATTAATTATTTTTAAATAGAATTTTGAGTAAAAGGGAGAGTCGAAGATATGATTGATACAGATAATCAGAATCAACGATATTAAAATAAAGTATTTCTTTGAACTATGCTAAATATTGCTTTACAAATTTTAATAGTCCAACTTTTTCTCAATGTAAGGCATATTAAAAAGAAGACAACAAATACCATGCAGCATGAGAATGTTGCGTTGACACCACCCTTTATGAGTATAATCAATTTCGTTTATAAAGTTAAAGTAGGAACTGAGATAACTCACTCGTTAATCATGAGCTGGCCAAAATTATCAAAATTGCTACAATTTACAAAAAATGAACTAGAAATCATTAAAAAAGTTTAACTTTTATCATGATCTGCTAACACTATTCAAAATAATATTTGTTATCTTTTTTTTTCCTCTCCGTTACTGAACTTGGATAAACTTTCAATCCACAGTGCACTGAAAGAAGAAAAAAAATGAATCACTCTGAATTACTTTTGATCTAATGATCGGATTTTCACATTCTAAAGCTCAATTTCAGCGTGTCTCGAACAAGTGACCTCAAATATGTTAATCAGTTAAGTGCTGATGATATTTTAAGTTACGAAATCAGACACATAAACGCACCTTTTTTAATATTAAAATAACTTTTTTTCGAAGAATTTGGATTTCTGACTCCCAAAATATAGAGGGAAGCCGTAATATGATCCCGATCGTTTGATTAGAAGAACAGTCGAAAGTATGAACTCCTTAATATTAATTTTACTGTTCGTGTATTTCACCAGACTTTTTAAGCGAATTTAAAAAAAGTTTGCTAACAATTATGAAATTCGTTTATCTAAAGATAATTTCGCTAAAAAAAATTTTATAGTTATTTATTATTTTTTATAACTTTATTTAATAATCGTCAAAAAAAGTTTAATTTTAAGTATACTAATTAGTATACTAATGAAGAATGAAGAACACTAATTTTTATATCAATTTAAAAAATATAATTGTAAATGGCAGAATCCAAATTTTGAACGAAATTGTTTGAATAGTTTTTGAGAAATCAAATTTTAAATAACTGACTTTTTGAAGAATTCAATTTGTCCGACATGTCCACCCCCCTCTCGGAGCGTTGAGATTAAGTCCGAATACTTGAAAATCAGATCATTAAATCATAAGTGTCAAACACCTTGCATTTAATGGCAACCCCGGTTCTTGATGATGATAGCTTAATGCATTATTCGTTGTAACTTCAGAGTCCAATACTTTTTTGCGTTTCCCTCACTGTTGAATCTAGTGAGATTTTTTTGCGTCATTTTTGTCTATGATTCTAAATATACGTATTAAGAGCAGTGCTTTCGAAACACCTTGTGAACACCTGAAAGAAAATACATAATTTATTATTACTCTTGGTACTCGCGTACCATGAGAAATAACAAAACTTCTTCCTAGAGACATTATCACGAAAACTTTTACATAAACTTAATTTAATTTTTCTTAAAATATGCATACTACTCATTATAAAAATTAATTTCTTTAAAAATATTCATTAAAATAACTTATAACTATCGTTCAACTATTGATTGCATGGCTTACTTACTACAATTCAATCGAAACTAAAATGTCTTATTACGGAGAAAAAAATAACATAAAATGTACCACTTTTATTCCATTGTTTGATCAAAAGTTAAGAAAAAAATTTTAAATCACTTAAATGCATTAGAATGATAAAGTTCCAAATCAAAAATGTTCAGCTTTCGGCGACATTAAAACATCGATAAAACGTGACAAACTGGCCGGCGTGAGACGCATCCACCAGATGTAATCTGTTCAAAAGATCTGTAACGGTGCTATAAATTATCGATCACATTCATTTCATGGACAAAATTGCCTCTTCTGATTTAATGCATTTTGGCGGAGAAAAAAAAGTTAACATTCGAAAACTTTTCTTGTAGTTAACTGAACTTTGAAAATGATAGTAAGAAGCAATCTAACTGTTGAAGATTTATTATCTTTTCTTTTGTTTCATTTTATGACGCTAATAAATCACTTTCTTTTTTAAAAGATTATATAAGGCTAACATTGTTAGTTAAGATCCGATTTTTTGCTTGAAACAATCATGAACTTAAGTGCCAATTATAATTAAGTTCATAATAAAATCAATTTAAGTTCATAAAGATATCCTCATTACAATAACTATTGTTCACCTTTTTAGATCACTTTATCGTAAATGAAAAAATATTTACAAAAAAAAAAAACGAATTGAAAATATGTTTTATTATGCAGGAAAACTTTTCATAATAAATAACTTTTTTTAAAAAAAAAAAGCATTGAAAAGATTCTAAACATTATTTTTTTCTTTTAAATTTTATAAGGTATGTTTAAAGACTCAATTTTATTCGTGCAGTGAGACTTGGAAATCATTTCCGTTTAAACTATAAGTTTGATCAGGCAGCGAAAAAAAGGGAAGTGATCCGGAGATCCGGATAAATAATGAAAACTGTCACAAGCATATTCCATTTTCACAGTTTAAGAAACTGAAAAAAATTAGATCATATTCACGTTTCTCTTTTAAATTACTTTGTGTAAAAAGAGTTGAAAGAAGATTGATAGCGTAAACTTTTGCACTTACATTTTCGAAATCAGAACTCATCGATTTTGTTACTAATCTCTTTAAAGATTTCTGCTCAACGGTTTGAAGGTATACATTTAGAATCGGATGTAGAAATAAATGCTTATTCTAATTTCAGTTAGTATTCTAAAAATCTAATAAGTAGGTGTAGCTGTTATATATTGAAAAAGGAATTTTTTCAGACTCTTTACAAATGAATTATTTATTGTTTTTATTGTAAGACAGGTTTTCGTAAGTTGTTGTATTGTCTAAATATGTTCTATCTCTCTCTCTGTATATACAGAGAGATCTATAACAATGGGCTAGCCCATTGTTATACCTCCATCTATAACAATGGGCTCGCCCAGGTTTTCATGGTTTCTCGCCCAGGAACAATTTTTCATGGGGCACATTATCTCCATTTTACAT